TAGGAACCTTAGCATAGAAAATAGGAGACTGCTAGGCGCCTAGTTATCGTCGAAGTCGAACTCGCTATAAACGTGGTTCTCTTCTAGTCCTCCTAAGGATAAGAGAGATAGACGAAGCTATATTATATTCTCTCTCTAGTAAGCCAGGTAAGCTGCCCCGATAGTTTTAGCGAGGTCTGCAATAAAACGATCCTTACGGCTTATCTCGCGACGAAACCCCGCGTTATCTTACCGTAGCGAAGCGAGCTACCGGTGCAGATCTTTAATCTCTGCTTATAAGATCTACAGCTCACCGGGAGTAAGGGTATAAGGACCGGATAGGTGCTATCTCTTTCGCCCGTCCGACTTTAGCTTAACTTAGCACGAAAGCGGTAGGAGCGGTTTATCGTGTATATTAATAGGGTAGTTAGTTCGAAGCGATAGTAAGTTGGTTCGAAGCGATAGTAAGTAATTTTATAGCGGTTACCGGTTAATATAGCAGGCGGGGTCTTTTTAAAAGTAATATAGGTTAAGGTTCTTTTATATAGTCAGAAATAGGATACAGGTATTACGGTAATAGTCGGGACTATCGGGTTACGGGGAACTGAATTCTGATTTATCGTTATAGTTTATGGAAATTATTACGTATATACTAAGTTTATCACGTGCCACACGAATTAGCTTAGTTCCTTTCTTAGCCCGACCGCTGCATCGAAAGCGATGTGTGTAAAGAATCGGTCCAGTCCCTTCTTAATCTTGTCAATGGCATCCACCACTTGTGTCTGCTCTTGCCGTATCTAACGCCCTTCACTCTGTAGCGTGCTAAGGGTGCCCTTCACTCTATAGCATGCTAAGGGTCAGGTCGATTTAAGCTAGCGAGTGTTAGAGCTATGACATCCCAAGCTCTATACGATCCAGTTTCTCGTAAATCGAGGAGCTTACAGAGAGGCCTTAGCAAGAGACACTTTAGCAGCTTAAATAGTATATACCTTATTCCTTATTACGATGGCTATAGGTTGATATACACTATCGGATTCTCGAATTTAAGCGTTTCGGGGAGCGGCGCGAAATTAACGGCTGTATTTTCGCCCTGCTTCTCGTTCGCGATAAAGGAGTTCTAACTTTCTGGAATAAAGCCTAGAGTCGTGTCGGACGAGAAGTTAGATAAGGTAGTATTATCTGGTAGGACCTTAGGGTCTAGAGGCGGCTATTCTTAGAGGCTCGGAAAGGAAGCGAAATCTAGTGCTTTAATGCTCGGAATAAGTTTGCTAGGAGTAAGGGGCTCGGTTAAGTCGAAGTTAAGACCCTCCTATATATCGATAGCCCCTATTATCGAGTCTATCGCTTTAGAATTACCGATAATAATACTTACTTTTAGAGGTAAGGATATTAATAATAAACTAAGATAGCTTTAACTTTATTATTATAAGAAATAGTCCTATTTTACTAGGAGTTTCTCTCCTTTTATGATTTCCTCCCGGGTCTTATCTACCCTACGATCTAACCCTCTATTATATTAGCGCCGAGGAGAGCAGGAACCGGGTTCTTATTTCTTAATTCTCGCTATGATTAAGTTCGTCTATATAAGCTAGCCCACTAAATATCTATTTACCTATATTAACTAAATTATACCAGCTCTCTAAGTCTCTTATTATATACCGTACCTAATTTCTGCTACTATGAAGTTTCTTTTTCTTCTTAGTATTCTTTTTATCTACGGGCTGTGCTTTGGCGGCCACTGCACGATATACCTCTTGTCCCCCGAACTGAATCTCCTAGCAGGGAGTTCGTCTATTACTTTTATATACGCCTCGCTACTTAGCGCCACGTTATATTAATAGCTAACGTTGATAGGGTTTATCCTTCGGTCTAACGCTGCTTAGCAGCTATTATTTTTAGCGATACTGTATTTCTGCCTATTACCTATGCTTTCGAGGCGGCTAATTACCCTAGGTAATAAGTGGTAACTTTCTAGATCCCCGCTAGCGTTCCCTCTAGCGATGTATACATTATATAATAGGCTATACCCGAGTCTTATAAAGGTATCGTTCTAATCTATAAAAGGCAATATACAGGTAAATCACCGGCGTGTAGTCGCGTGACGATTTCTAGAGGTTACAGCAGTTTATCCTTACCGCTTCAGAATACCGGGCGCCTTACCTGCGTTTCCCCTATTCTATACCCTAGTAATACGCTTAGTACTATAAGCCAAAGCTCCCCGATAATATCCCTCTTAAGTCTTACTATATTTACGTCTCTATTAACCTTATGAGATAAGTCGGTGTTTACTATAATCCACGGGAGTAGGAGCCCTAGGCGCTTTAGGGCCTCGGCCTTCCTTATCAGCACGCACGTTTCTTCTACTATAGTTAATATAGTTACGGGATCGGGAACACCTTGCCCGAATACTTAACAGGATATATTCGGTTAACGACGGAAGGTTCTCCGGGCTTCTATATACGGTCTTAAGGAGATAATATTATTAATCTTTCCCTGTATACCGCATACGGCCTGAATCTTATTAATTCATAGATAAAATATAGTTAGTCTTTAGTCTTAGATTATTATAATATACGGACTTTCTTTAACTCTGATAGGCTTAGTCTATAGCAGCTTATACTTTGAAACTGCTTGATATAGAACGTTAAGGTAGAGTCTTGTGTATACGCCTGTTAGTGATTAAACTGAATATTAATGTATAAAGGATTCCGGTGACTCGTGATCTAGTCTAGCTTACGAATACTAAGAACCCGTTAATAATATAGCTAATACCGAAGTATAGGGGATTTAGTTTTAGCTCTACGAAGTACTAGCGAGCCGATAACTAGACTAGACTATATACCCTGACCCCTTAGGTTATATCGTTATATTTATTCTACCTAGGAACTTAGAAGAAAATCTTCCGTGTATTTAATATAAAGATATCTAAAAAGATATATATAATTATTATTCTTAAGTCCCACTACTCGTACCCTGGCTTTATATATCACGTAAAGATATCTTTAGTCTATTAGTGAAGAATATTCTAGGGTAAATAGAATTATATAAACGTACTATCCTAAGTTACTTCTCTCCTTACTTTATACAGAAAATAATAGCTATAAGTGCGCTTACTTTAGCCTCTAGCTTTTCGAGCCGAGAATACTATTCGTGAAATATACTATATACCTTTTTATACTCGCGGTATACTTTTTCGTACTCGCGGTAATAGTAAGTAATATAGTCGAGATATTACTCGGTAGGCGGAGTATACCATTTATCTAAGGACGGATTAACTATTAGATATAAGAGATATTAAGATTAGATAATAGTAGAAGATACGATAGGTCTTTAGTATCTTAAGCTTAGAATATAAGCTAAAGGTTAAACGAGAGATTATAACGTATATAACTAGGTTATAGAGGTATTATACTAAGGTATATACATAGGTACCTCTTAGGTACCTACTATATAGTACGGAATATATACGGTGTTATAGCCCCCTATCACCTACGTCTAATCTATAGGAATAACCCGTCCTGATAGTTTAGTTCTACTTAAGTTAACTAATATAAGCGCTTAATAAAGTAGAGAAGCGGGGAAACACTACCTAGGTACCACTTATTCCGGTACGAGTCTAACTAAGCTGCTAAAAAGTAGGGGCGGGGCACGAGTACGTGTATAACGGAGCTCCCCAGAGTACCTTATATCGTACCTGATTAGGCAGGTACCTAGGTATCCTAATATAGACTAATAAAGTACCTAGGTATATAGCCACTTATTCCCTAGTCCTGGCACTTCGAACCTTAAGGTACCTTAGCTTAGAAACTAATTCGTGTTACTGAGTTTAGAAAGCAGAAAGCGGAAAGCAGAAAGCGGAAAGCAGAAAGCGGAAAGCGGGAAGTTTAGTTATCGGCGTCCTTATTAATAGCATCGCTATCTATTACGGGTCGCAGACCCGTTATATAGACCAGGCATAAGGCACTGGTTAATCCCTTAAATACCGTGGCCATCACTCTAGTACCTACCCGGGAGGGGGGGGGAGGGGGTCCTAGACAGTGCTTGGACAGTGGACTTCTTACCCTTTATACTAGTACTGCTATGCCAGAGCCTACTTATTATGACCAGCAAGAAAATCACTGTCCAGGCACTGTCCCTGGCACCCCCCCTCCCGGGTAGGTATGTAGGCAGTCAGAGTAATACGTATTCTTTTGCCTTCGTGGCAGAGGGGTTTATGCTTTTGGTTGTGCGGCTTAGTAAGGTCACTGCTTTTCCACAACCCATTTACGGGCGGAGCCGTTACACTATCCTTACTGGCCTTAGCCTCCTTATGGCCGTCGCCGACTTGCCGCCCTTCGTAGTCTTGCCCTCTTCATAGATATCCTTGATTCCTTGGCCTCCTTACTCTCAGCATTATCCCAAGGTCTTAACGACCTTTTACTAATGTAACTGTCTGAATTGGTGTGGCTCCAGATCGTCAATACAACGTATGGACAAAACGGTTAATCCAGTCGTGACTCGTAACACATTACATAACCAAAACCGGACCTGCGATACTATAACCTTAAAAGAAGATAGAGATCGGTAGTCACTGCTCTAATCAGGGCAACGCAAGTTGAACTGGAAAGATACCCTGAACGTGACAAAAGATACCGCAAAAGAGCATGATGATTAATGGTCCTGACATGGCGGGCTATCCCACGGGTGTCTACTAATATACATGGGGGCTGGCCTAGCAGCCTTGTTATGGTTATGCGACCCTCCTGCGGCAACACGCCAAAACCGCATCTACGCTGTTACACTAAGAAGTGGAGAGCGTAGGTATACCGGCCAGAGTTCCAAGCCTACCAGTAGACTTTCTAACCGTACTAGCTTTAGTCAAAACTTACTTGGATGCATATGAATTATGGCCCTTTTTATTAGTCTCTCTTTTCGTGAACCCGGCTTTTATAAACGGCCTGTGGGGCGCTAGTTATATAGCCTCGCGGCTCGCCATTATCGTCAGGGATGGCCAAGCCAAAGTAATAGGCGATCTGACGCCATTAGTAAACGTCGGCAGCATAGATGTCGCTCCTAGCGGCGTACTCGGCAATCTTTAGCTGTATCTTATGGGGCATCCTGATTTCGCCGTCGTAAGGGATGGCCGCGGCAATATACATGCCAGCATAAGGGCGTACGTTGCTATTTTCACTAAGCGTGTCCGCGAAGTAGCGGTAGTGGATGCTCTGCGAGTCGGGGGGGTCGCGGCTGGCCATGATGGACAGATGTCTCATAGAGCTGAACTAGTGTTAGTAAATAGCCTCTACGATCTAGAGACAGCTAACTTATAAGGTCGGTCTAGATAGAGGACTGCTTAAGATAGTAAGACATCCGGGCGCCGTATCTGACTGGCCAGAACCCGTGTAGCCGCGTGAGGAGTCAAGACGTTCTGGCTCTAGGATCGTCACCATAAAAGAGAGATAAAAAGGTCAGGCCAGCTATGCCATAAGCAAAATAGTCAAAACTACGACCTTTAAAGAAGATGTAGAATTGTAGGTATTGATCTGGTCAGGGCACTCAGGGTAACCTAGATTGAACTGGAAAGATAACTCGAACGTAGCGAAAGAGGTGAGGGAAAAGGATGATGATTGATGATCAGGATTCAGGTCGAGGAGGGGATTGTCCACCGTAATATAGGCGTTGGTAGTGGAGCCACCACTGTGGTACTGCTGTGGTCATGTCACCTATGACTGCAGGTTTCAGCAACATACCAAGAACGTATCTAGGCGGTTATAGTTCCTGATAGGGGCGGTGGCTATGAGTCTTGGACGCGTTGTTATGATCCTGATTCCTGACTGGGCCGTGATATCGCCGTTTGGAACGTTTAGTTACGGGGACGTTTATAATAAATAGGGTATCCAGTGCTGTTTATTCAGACTATGGCATTACTGATAGTACCTGCCGCTAGCCGTTCCAGGTTTATGTATATCTGGATACTTCTACACACCATTAACGATATCTTCGCTCGTTTAATTAATCCCTAATAAGATCTAGATCGAACCGAGTTGCTTGCTTTTGTACCTCTATATATAAAATAGGTGTGCAAGTACGGATCGCCAGTATTTATCTAATAAGCGACCGAGATATAGGGCTAAGGCTCGAGCTAACGTGCTGACGCCGGTAGAGGTCTAGTACACGTACCGGGCCGAGTCAGGTGCAGACATATATTATGAAAACACAAGATCAACCTAGCACAATTACATAAGGAAGATTGTCCATTGTAGGAATCCGTTATGTCCTTCGAGGAGCCTATCCTAAACTGGGATTAGGCCCTGGTACTTATAGAGAGGTAGATCTACTAAGACGTTTGTTGTACCTGACCTTACAGCCTTGGAGAAGATTCACGCTTCCTGACTGACATTTCCACCCTAAGATAAACGGATAGTCCATATCTCCGCTATGCCGGACGAATACAGGTGTATATCGTAACCTTGAAACCTTTTAATATTAGGTAAAATCTAAGCACCGCCTCTGCACGTGGTATGCTATGGGTAATCGTTTAATTAAACGGCTATAAAGCTCTTTTATCCTGTAAAAAGTCCTGAAGCCGCGATTGTTTTATGTCATCGAGTGTGATCCTCGGAGACATATAAGAGTTGAGATCGCCCTCGAAGGACAATACCGGGGTCCTTGGTAGATCGCGTACCTGGCTTAAAAACAAGCCCTATTTCCCAAGCAAGGTGACACACTTTAGATGGATATTTCGCAAGCGCATATGTTCCCTAATAAAGCATAAGAGGTCTTCCTCTCTTGTCCATAGATATGCGAAGGAGACACTAAGAAATTGTGACTATCTTAAATCACTTAACACTAAATTTTGACCCATAGACCCTGTAAGAATAGGCGTTATAAGAGTAAGACTAAGAACGAGTTCTTAAAGATTAGGAAAGGCCGCTAGTAACTTCTCTGCCGTGAGTTTTTGGTTTCGGTCAACAGCCAAAGAACAGAGCCGTAATCGTGTAATAGAGCCATACTTGGATATAAAGGCATCGTCGACGTTAAGAGCCAGGACTCCTCGAATATTAAGCTCGGATATCTGAGGATGGTAGTTGAGGATAGATAGAATAGAAAATACAGCTTTCTCGACCTGGCCCTGAGATAATGGAAGGACTTGAAGTTGTAGTCGTAAGCGATTATACTGAGCATTGCTGAGCATGCCCTTGTCCTAGTGGTAGATATGGGATACTGTGATCCCGCGAAGCGTGGGAAAAGACTGTAAGACTTGGGAAAAAAGGCGCGAGTTTGACGCTATATCCCGTGCTGTCTCTTATCGGACGAATTGGCGATAGAGCTCGAAGGCCTTACTGGGTCGTTGCTTATGAAGTACAAGCGAGTGTGTGCTCCACTGTTCAGGTCCGATGACTGGCCAGGCGCCATGGTGAATTGTTAAGTGTTTAGTAGCAGCCAGCGATCCATATGGCGAAGATACTAACGGCCAGAGTTGAGCAAGGCAGTTTAAGGTATCAACGACGTGGATGGAGCGGACAAGGACAGGGAACCCTGCAACGGCGGCTCGACGGCTAGTAAGCCTGAAAGAGCGGATGTCTTCGGTAGTAGAAAGTTGGGAGGTAATTTCTGTGAGAATCTCTAATGGTAATTGTTCTATAATTAATGTAACTAGGATACTGACTGGTCTTGGATGTTTTGAGTCGATGCATATTCCCGCCCACGGAGATTGGAGTTATTAATGCTAACCTTTAAGAAAGGTGGCCTGTATCTCTAGCCTATGGGCGCAGGTTAAGAAACGGATATTAGATAATTAGATAACGGATACTAGAAAACGGACGCCAGAAAACGGACGCTAGAAAACGGATACCAGAAAACAGATACTAGAAAATGGACATCGGGAACCAGATATCGAAAACGGATACAGGAAACGGATTCCAGGAAGCATTAGGAAACAGGATATTAGGAATCTGATATCAGGAAACGCATAGTAGGAAGGTAGGATCCTAAAACTCTGGCCATAATTTCGAAGTATAAAATAAGCCTATCTTCACTAAATTCTGGTTTCGTCTCGGCTTAAAACATCTAGTTATATTCCAGCGTGTCCCGTGTACTTTTTAATGGAGACGAATGATCAAGAGGCCGCCGCATAGGCCTGGGAGCAGCCGACCGCCAACGGACCGTCGTTACCACCTGGCGATAAGATGGAGGGACTGTCCTCAAACGACGGCCATGATGCCGCAGCCCAAGATCAGCAGTCCTACGAGCAATTAACCATGGCCATGCCACCGACACAGCTAACTCACCATGGTCTTGTCCAGAGTCTGATTCGGCCCGACGCTAGTACGCTTTTCGCGGAGCACTATAAGGAGATCTACCAAACCTGGGTCTCTCTACTAAAACACACAGCCATACCTAACAACGTCGATTACACGCATAGGTCTATCGCAGTTGCGTTCACGATGCTAGAGAGCCTCGTCGAGGGAAATAGTTCACGTCTCTTATCGAGACTCGCTTATGTCCTGCTATCGCGGATATGGGATTCTCTTTATCAGATTATCGAATCGAATAGAAGGCGTGGCAGAATCCGACGGGAATCCGGCAGGGGCAACGCTAGTGTGGCTATAAGCGTGTACCGTAATATCCAGGGACAGACCTCAGACGGTCTTATACTTCTTAGGCGGAGCCGGCGTTAGGCTCTTCTTACAGGATCATCACCGCTTCTCCTCGTGACTTACTCGGATGCGGCAGAAGGGATAATGTAAGTTGTTTTGACGTTCTGTCTCCGTATACTGTATGCACACGACGCTTATATGTGACACGTGACCTTATAGCAATAACTACTCGATTACCCATGACACCTTGAAGGCAATTGCGTCAAAGGTCTTACGGGTCTATCCAGCGGAATTAATTCGAACGTCCATTTACCTTACCCAGATGGGTGAGCAGGTTATGTTAAATACAATGGACAACGTGCGATAAACGAATGGCCATAATGTCGGCGCTTATTATTACTAAAGGTAGTAACTAGTGTCTGGTGATGGAGAAGATTTTGCCTAGTACAGATTCGCGTTATAACTTACCTGGTACCTTCGCGGTAAAGTCTTTATTATAAAGTACCTAAATTAGCTTATCTGTTAAGTCCCTAATTACTTTGCTTATCTGTAAAGTCCCTAAGGTACTAAATCCTTATATAACGTTGTTAGCTTATCTGTAAAGTACTTGCTAGTATGTGTGGCTTAAGGTACTATACCTTATCCGTCAAGGTCAAGTTATATACCTATAGTATATACAACGTACGGTAGGTAGGGCAAGGGGGCAATCTGCTATTCTTACTAAGGTAGGCCTAGTATATACCCACCGCACTAAGCTAGGCCGGAATAGCCTAACACAGGTATATACAACGGTATACGCCTAGAATATTATAAGGTACCTGGAAATATATAAAAGCACCCTAGGGGCTCCGGATAAAAGGTTAGGCGGGGAAAGGGGGGGGGCGGGTTAGATACAGGATAGTCCACACTCTCGCTCCAACCTCTACCCTTCCGCCCGGGGAGCCCGGTATTTTATGCCCTACCCTATATAGTGTATAATGACTCGGCTGCTCCTGTCTACTACCTAAGCCCAAGGCAAATTCCACGCCAAGATCACACTAACCAACGTAATATAAAACCAGGTATCTAAACCCCGTATATGGCACCGAACGTTTTTGTCCTTTCCCTCTCTCTATCTTATCTGCTCTTTAAACCTATCTTTCACCTATCCCTATCGATATCTCTCGCTTTAATCGAACTATATAACACGATACAATATCTCATAATAGCGATAACGGGGAAGCTATCATCCCTTCGGACTAACGGCTAATCGTGCCCGAACCGAAGGATATCGTAGATATTATCTTTAATTAGTTAGCCGAAGACGTTAGCGAATGCTAGCTAGAGCTTTATCGCGTATAGGGAACCTATTATGACTGGGCTAATGCTGGTATAGATGTTGCACGACGCCGACTCCAGTGGGTATACGAGTTGGTTAAGCGCAACCTCGCTAAGTTCACTAAGTCTCTTCTCCCTGCTATACACTTCGATACCCTCCACCTCTCTCGTGCTTCTCGGAGTAAGTATTCGGTCACGAATATACCCGGTACTCTACGTCTGGGCTATTTATTTAGATAACGCAGATAATTTACGGAGGGCGACTTAATCTAGGCTGTGATTAATACTTTGCCCCGGGGATTATAGATACCACCGCGTATACGAGACGACTCGTCCTATATTCTTATCCGCGGCAAAGTTACAGGCGAGCTTACTCGGTGGCTCCGTTATTACGATCCACCTTATACTCTGACTAGGTCGACTAGTTAAGACCCCACGGAGCCTGATTCTGATAATGCCGGGACACCTCCCTATAAACCCGGGGAATGTACTTATCTAAGTAAGGCTCTTACGACTATATTCTATTAATACGCTAATAAAATGATAGAGCAGATGCAAATATACTAGGCGGATATATTTTACAGGCTTTATACCCTGCGAAAGTCACTCTCGGGTATAGAGGAATACCTTAGGGGTTGAGGACTTACTCGAGAATAATGCAATTGGCTCGGGATACGAGGACATGGATTCAGGATATCGAAAAGTGGGGCCATACTATGTGCGCCGGAACACGTAAGTACCATACCTATTTTGTCAGGATACCTAAGCACCTCTATAGGGATTAAATAGGTTAAGGTAGTTTATAACTTTGCTGTATATCTTATTTCGATCGCTTATTAGTTTATTACTACCGGTCCGTACTTTTCTACCTATTTTATATAGATAGGTATTAGAAAATAATAATAGTATAACGATAGTTATATGATGCCTGCTTACCTAAGGTAAGGTACGTAAGTTATTGGAAGGTACCTAGGTATGGTGAAGACACTAACTTCGGTGGTGGTGATAAGGGGAGACAAAAGAACATTGTGAGTATAGATACTTAAGGAATCAGTATGGTTATTATATGTGTGGTTAAACTGTTACCCACTGGACTGGAGTTCCCCTGTTATCCTTAGCCAGTTATGTTTATATAGCCTTAGCTTCCTAATTAGTGTTGAGTGTGCGATAAAGACCGAGTAGGGGGTGGCGGAGGACCGGTACCTTATTCCTTATTAAGTAGTACCTTATATACGCTAATCCAAGGTACCTAGGTACTTAATCTTTAGAGGTGTAATTAAGGTAATAAAGGTACCGCCTAGGAGCGGGAACTACGGAGGCGGGCCGGGACTATCGTCTTAAAAGCTTATATATAGGGACTAACCAGGGGGATAGTAGATTCTACTAGAGGGACCGTAAAATATAGGGCCAGGATATAAGCTATAATCATTCTCAGTACTAGACCTGTTTTATACGTACCTATTAGGTAGCTAACGGTCTCGTCCTTCAGGTTATAGTATTATAATTATTTTACCTTTAATACCTACCTACCTTATCTACCTACCTACCTAAGGGGAGAGGGGGTACCAGGGATAGTGCTTAAACAGTGGACTTCTTACCCTGCTTATTATAACTACCTAGTATAAGAATCACTATTCAGGCACTATCTATAGCCCCCCTCCTAGGTACCTACCTTAGGTAAGGTAGGTAGTATATAGGTAGGTATATTATAAAATAACGAGTACCGCGATAACCCGATCGGTACTTACAGAATGACTATAGTACTTAGGGCGATTATGGCTTATATCCTGGCCCCACGTTTTACTGTCCCTCTATTCAGGTCTTACTATCCCCCTAGTCGGTCCCTATATATATATGTATGACTGCGACTACCCACTTTTTTCCTTTTTTCCCCTCCTCTCCTTTTTTCCACGTAAGTTTATTAATTCTTCCTAATACTCTGCACTTTTATTATAGCCACTCTTCTTAAGATTTCTCTTCCGGGCGGGCTCGATATTCCGTGGTTCGACCTGCCTACCTTATTCTAAGCTAATAATAACTTCCTAGATTAGTTAAAAGTAGAATTCGAATTAGCTTTGGCTTTTATTAACCACGAGAGGCGAAAACGCTAGAACCCGTCCCTTTTATTACCTCCGTCGCAGCCACTATAGAGAGTATTCCAGTCTTTCTATAGAATAAAGCCAGGGTCTAAGCTCTCCGATCCAGCTCGGTTCGACTAAAAAAATAAGCAATTTCTAATACTTATATCAAGACTCTCACACGAGCCATACGCGTAACGGCTTTCTCTGCTCTTAAAGACTAATCTTAAGCTCTCTGCTTTGGATAAAGCTACTATTATATAGTTTAGTCGAGAGCCTTAGGCTATGAATCTAGCCTATAGCTTTCCCGCCCCCAAGGTTGATCTCCGACCATTGAAGCGTTTCCATGAGCTTAGCGAAGACGCGCGAGACCTTTTCCGGTGTATTGTATCCACAGGGGGGATGGTTCCTAAGGTGTTTCTGTTCGATGCATGCCAACCTAAGGTATGGGGTCCTGATGGCTCAGTCCCACTTCTCAGTCCGATGCTGCATGGCGCTCTCCAGAGTATTGAATGCTGCGTCGCTGCAGTGGAAGAACTTCGCGCGGCTCGGGTAATTTATATCGACCCCCATGAAAACATTATCGCGAATTCATTTATAATACGCAAATTGGGAAGAGCAGTTATTTTAAAAGCAGATCAGATCAAGGCATTAACTGCTCTTTTTTATGCCTTCCCTAAAGATGGACATCTTGACCCTATTTAGTAAGGGCCCTTCCTATTTATTCTAAAAGGTCTCTGCTAACAGGTTTAGCTACACATTAAAAGGGCTAGCAATGCTTCACATCCTCTGGTACCTTCTTTCATGTCTGTTTGAAGATTTCCCATGTCCAGAGACAGCAGAAATTCTCGAATTGGCCTTCGAAACCTTTATCTCCGCCTCGTTCTTTGCGGATCTCTCTTGGAAGCAAACGGCGGCAGCGATTGCTGAGCGATTAGCGCAGCTTCTCCGGAGCCCTGTTCATCTTGCAAGGGCATATACTCGCAAGGCTTCCCTCTCCAGGCTATTCGGCGACACTCACTTACCTCCGCCGAAAATAATACCCCCTCCCGCCATCAATGAACGCACAAACGCTTGGTTTGGACAGCTCATACTATCCGCGGCTCAAGAATTAATTAACAAATCAACTCCCACGGAACACATCATTTCAATATTTTGCGGCTTCCGTCCATTGCACCCAGATCGGCCGTCGCATCAGGAGAGTCTTATTCTCCTAGATACATGATTCCTGGTTGCCAAAAGCCTTCGTTTTGAGGGTAGATTTTGCGAGGCTGAAAGCGTATTTAATGATGTGCTTACTCGCGCAAATACACTCCGTGCTCGAATATCGTGGAAAGTGACTTCTCACCTAGGCGAAGTCCAGACCGAGAACAGGCCTTGCCATAACGCGATTACGATGCTGCAGAACGATCTCATAGAACTCGAAAAGTACTAACCGTTAGAACATGGATCCGGAAAACGGTTACGTCTGGCCCTTGCGAACTGCTACCTTATGAACCTTCTCTGGAATTTGAGGTCCTATTTTCATGCCCCTTCTGCCGAATCTATTCAACAAACTCTCAGTCTCTTCCTATCACTCGACTCTGCCTACTCCTAAAAAAAGCCAGTCGGTTTCATGGCAAAACATAATCGATTTGCTATTCGGTGTGGTATTGCTATAATTCACTATATAGCAGATAACTCGGAAGAGGCATTTGCAGCTTGGGAAGAAGCTGAAAAAGCAGCACGGGAATTGTGTGAAAAGCCAGGATATAGCTGGTCTATGTCTGACAGGCCCAGAACGGCTGAACGCGGTACACGTTACACGCAGCGACGGGTCTAACCCGTATTCATCCAAACCCCTCGTCTACTGTCTCGCACGACGCATCAGCTCCACAGCCCGTCGAACAGCCTTGACATCCAACTCATTGTCGTCGTCCTCCTCGCCAGAGGCGCCGCTGGCCGTGGCCGAGTCCTCCTCATCCTCCTCACCCGAGCCGGGGTCGCCCATGATCCAATCACGAAAAGCGAGCGAGCGTTAGGGACCGCCGCGGCCGACGGCCACAAGTCGAGCCTGGGTAATCATAGCGGGGGTATCCGGGGCCGCAGAGAGTGTTTCGGATAGGCCTAGAGCCCGCTCGTTCGTAACAGGCACACGAGCAATATTAACGCGAGACCCGTGGCGGAGGATATCGCGAAGGCTAATAGCACAACCCTCGACAACGCCGGGAGGGGTTCGTTCTTGGAGGGCGTCGAGCAGCAAGGCGACGTATTGGCCGGCAAGGTGTGCATGGTGACGGACGCGGAACCGCTGGATTTGAAACAGGGCGCCCTGTTGGTCACGTTGCTCCATCGATTTAACCCACCGCCAGAGGTTCTAGAACGCGCCGGTAAACTCGCCGGGGATCTAGGAACCGGGAATCGTTAGCAGGGCCTGTAAGAGAGAGAAAAAGGACGCACTCACGGATAGGCAAGCAACGCGGTCTTCACGCTCGTACTAATAGCAGCAATCGTCGTGCGTGCCGGTAAGACAGACGAGGGAAAAGTTATGCGTAATATCGTAGAAGCAGGTGGCATAGGGAGAGATAGGCTAGCCGTCCGACCAGACAGCACGCGACGAGTTATCGCGTATGATAGGGAACTCGCGTAGAACGGCTACGGCTTGAGTGAATGGCTCGGACGGTCGAGCGGCAGGAAGCCCGCCGGGAGAAAGGAGATCGAGAGACTAAGGGTAAGGTAGTAGCAAATACCTAATATGCTGGAGCCTGGAAGGCAGGTGTGAAAGGTTAGAAGGCACGCCTGGGCGGCCTGGCGGGTGTTGCTTCTAGAGGCAAGCGGTAGCTCGCTTGCCAGGTTGCCGGTTGCTTTTAGGTTTGTTCGGAGCTTTATTGGTTGATGGCAGGCGACGAGTCACGAACACTTAGACAGTCGCACCGACACAGACAACAACGGCGGCTCAACCAACCATGGCAGATTTCAGGTATCTCGAAAACAAACTGATGGCTCACACAGCCAACAGTTACAACGACAAACCTGGCGGACCTGGAAAACAAATTCACGGGTCAGATTGCACAGCTCAAACAGGAATGTCGGGATCTTGCTGCAGACGTGCGTTAATAAGCGGACGATACAACCAGGGGCCTGCAAACCATCGCTAACAATGTCAGTACTGTGGAGGCATACTAATCTGGACTGGTCAAAGGGAGTACGAGGAGGAAGAGGTCATAGAATGCTTCAAAACGTTAATAGAGTCCTAATGTACCCGGGAGATCGGTGACACCTGTGGGCCTTAGTCTCTTAAACGTACTTTCACAGCACTTTCTCCTGGGGACACGCTAGTTAAGTGCCGATCGGGCAAAAATCTGAGGGACGAGGGAGGCAACGAGTAGCTTATTGATTACGTCTAGGGTTACCCTCAGGACCTTCTTCTTCGACTAATAGGGAACACGACTCTTTGCCCTCGTAACGCCGACTTCGCTTCGTTTGATTCCATCGACTTAAATACTCGCGAGGGCAGGTCATGGCGGAGGGTGGAGGCAAGAAAAATCGAAGACATATGGAACATTACTGTTCTAGATCCAGTGCATTAGCGCGTATTATAACGGGGAATGGCTGGCTAATGATAACAGGGGATCCCTGTGCAGCGCAGAACCAGGCACCAGGTGAACCTACCGCTGGGCCCAGTGCACAGACCATATGAATTGATGAGCAGTCGCAGACCATGTCTCCTCAAAGCAAACCTGGCCAGAATTATATAGCCTGTATATACTGCGGATCGCCGCTAATTATGGTTAGCCTATACCAGGCTCCTAAGGCGGAGCAACATCATTATCGAATCGTGTAAGAAGGCTCGGGAGTCCGGGGAAAAGAGGTTGGAGCTAAAACGCTTCTAGTAAGGGACTCCCCCACGTCTAAGAAGGGAATAGTGTCTAACTATTATCACGGGGAAGAGAACCCTCTCGAAGCTCGTTATGAATAAGGCTGGAGTAGATCCTGCCTGTTAGCTTATTAGTCTCAAGCCAATAAGCCAAGTTTAATATTTATCACTACCATGGCTATTTTCAGTGCATAGAAAACCACTTTCCGGACTCGCTTGTTCGATTAGCACAGGACGTGTAAGGCAGCGTAGTAGAAAGGAATCACACATTTGTGAAATGAATATATAATGTTCTCCTACGAACCTGGAGATCCAAAGGAATGACTACTCGCCCAGTCAAGCCTTAGGTTCGCTGTCGAGAGAATGCTTCTTATATAGCCGCCCCTTTAACCACTTCCACGATACAGGCTCGAGGCTGATAGTAATATAAAGCAAAAACTGAACCAGAACCAGGCTTTCCTATCCGCGTATAGCGCCTATAATCGGTAATACGAGTACGGGGAGGTTAAACGCTATCCAGAGAATAAGTCGAAAGCCGTAGATTATCGATAAAGGAATTATCCTCCGGCCGCGGTATAACTTAATAATAATAAAGATAACCTAAACGAAATGGAGAGTAACTAGCGTAATCCATAAAATAAATAGAAACCCGTAGTGTACTAGTATCTAAATTCCTATGAATATATAATAACTATATAGTGTAATTCCGATAGCAAAGTAAATAAGTAACCCCTGTTAGTTATCGGTAAGTTTGCTATAAAGTGGATATACTAATAAGGTAATCTGTAGCGCGTTAGTTATATCTAAGGATAACCGGGTTCCTAAAATACCTAAAAAGCCTTAGCGGAGATAAGGGAGAAGCCTTCCTAGGTAAGAAAGATTTCTGTCGTGTGCGTAAGATAACCTGCCCTCGCCAGGCTAGAGAGGGACGTAAGGATAATACTAATGACTAGCTAAGAAAAGGAGTAAATAAGCTGAACCGGAATAGGTAGTATCCTCTAGGATATCGCTTCGCGGATCTTTACCGAGGCGTATACGAATTAGATAAGTAAAGAACCGGCGAATATAGTAGCCGCCTAGGCCACTTAGGCGCTACTAATGCTGTCCTGTATCCGGAAAACGAGTGGCAGAGTTGCGTGGGAATTCGAGGCAAGGCAGATAAGGCGACTATAGCGACCTGCAGGAAGTGCAGGTCCACTAACCTAGGGATCTTAGATATATATATACTACCCTGGACTAAGAACTAGAAGGATAAGGAACCCGGATAATTATCACGAATCGGATATAGCCGTATAACCTGCTCTATCTCCAGGTTAACCCGTGGATACTTAGCTTTTATTTCGAATATCACTCTGCCGTTAATAGTTCGTAACCGGTATTCACCTCGTTAATTATACAGGACTAGGGGGCACTTTTATATTATATTAACCACTAAATATCTTAAAGACTTTCTATTAGGCTAGACGTATATACGGATATAGATCCTATATCGCGGAGCGATCTACGTGAACTAACACGTATAATAAATATCTAGGGCTAGGAACGATAGCTAGCTCGAAGACGAGAAAGCGCTATATAGGAGTAGGAGCCATAAATACAGAGTCTTTATTTAGATCGAAACTTATAGGAATATATATTAAGCGTTACCGTTTTATATTAGTTTCTATGCTTTACTTAGCTTTTTACTACCCACCTTAGCGGTAACTAATATTTTCTATTACCTAGTCGGTGTCTTAATAATTTGCCTATATTAGAGGAGCTTATAATTTCGTCGACCCGCCCAGGGCCTCTAAATCTCAGCATACCTCTTTAGCGCCATAGAATCTGAGTATCCTTCGCAGCTAAGCTATCTCACGTTAACTACCCTAAGAACCCTTACGTCAAAACACGCCTATCGACTTACTAAGGATTGAACGGGTATTAAACGAAATTGGAGAAGAGCTCTGGGACTTTAACGCCCTAAACGGCGCTCTCGACAAGATCTTCCAGAAGGTGTCGTCACTAAAGGCTTAACTTAGCGTCCAGAATTCATTATAAGCTACGATAAACCTTCTAAGACAGCAACCAATAAATAAGGCTCTGCCTAAATAATAAGCGACGAAGGTAAAGCACCTAATTCGCTTCGTCTTTAAGAAAGAGGTCCGCGGAAGTGCTAGACCTAAGCAGCTGCGGGGCTAGGACTACGATGCCCTAAAGGTCTTAGGCTTATCTTACTCGACTAAAGAAATCGTTAAGATAGATAATACAGAGTTTAAGATCCTCTAAGCACGTGGCCCGGAATTTATCCGTCGTCGCGGGCTTTCCCGCCTTCTATATCGCCCTGATATCGATAAAGCTGCCTATGCTATATTAGAGGATCCAGATAATAATAGGTTATACGAGAAATTTATATAAGGTACTTAGGACTCTGTAAGGTAAATTAAAATAAGCTCGATACTAACTAAATTAGATTATACTAAAATTCGATTATAAATATATAAGCGGAAATACGATAATATTAAAAGTGATCGAGCCGCGGATAACCTAGTTTTAATATAAGACAGGGCAGAACTAAGCTAAGGTGCGTTATCTCTCTTTACTAGATAGTAGAGAGCTAATAGGAAAAGCGTCGATAAAGAAAGGAGCAATAACGAATTCGTATAAGGGAAAGGCCTTTATTATTAGCAAAGACGACGCGTAATATGCTATATCCGTTATTAGCTATCTTAGGGAAATATGGCTAATAATTCCGGGAGACGGTTATAAAGCCTACGATAGAAAGAAGAAGTCGTTTCTCACGCTTTGGCTTCCTGAAGAAATGGGCGAAGAGTTAGCTAGTCGGAGCAAACTAATGGTCGACTGTACTATAAGCGATAAGAACTAAGTATTATACCAGTATATCCCTACCCGTGTTAATTCTAGCTTGAATAACTTTCCTATACTATAGGCGGAGAATATTTTACTATTTAAGCACGTTTTTAATATCTTTAAAAGTTTTAAGCTTCGAATAAGGTACGCCTGCGTTAAAAACGTTATAACCGTTAGTATATTAAGCGTGCGTTTTATATAGTTTCTATACGCGCGGCTCCCTACTCTTAACTCTCTAGCCGGTCGGCCGAGTTAGCTTATAGCTATCCAGGGTCAAAGCATCTATTATAATAGTTCCCTACGGGAGTACAAGCTTAAGTATATCGTAGGGATATAGATCGATGACTTAAAGTCCGATAAGGGTTATTAACCTATATATATTTAGAAAATTAGCGAGCTTAGTAAGGAAGCGGTTATTAACTTAAGAAAGATCTGGCCTAGGCCCTGCCTGATACTTATATAGGTGGAAGCCTTGGTCTATGAGGATGAATATATACCTATGTATATTACTAAGATCGATATCCCGGAAAGCGGTAGCGTTAGCCTAGCGGTAGTAAGGCGTCTCGTGATTAACTCTAAGCAGGACTATTTTTTCGGGAATAGTAAAATACGTATAGGCTAGGTATATACAGAAAACTCTATCGGCGCGGTTTCGGACAAAGAGCGCGGTAAGTTCGCGTATATATAACTCGCGGATCTCTGGTTATTACGAATCGTCCGGGAGTCTATTATAACTAGAGGAGGGGTTAGTTATAGTTGACGCTGGAGGTTATAAGACTTTATATATTACGGCTTTCCTCTAAGTCTGCCTCCTCTAAAGCCTTATTAAGTCCAGAAACTCCCGCTTTATATACTATAACTTATATTGACTTTATAGCCGGACTTTATTAACGGATAACCTCGGCTTAGGCTACGGAAGTATATATTATCTAATAGTCGTATACAGTCTATATAAAGGCGTTAGATACTTTATACTATAAAGTAGTCGTGTATTAGAGTTAGGAGATAGTAGCTAGAATAGTGGTATAAAAAGGGATAGGTTTAGGATAGAGGTAAACTCGTCGATATCGGTCATAATCTAGCAGTTATACATAAAATATAGAGATATGGGATTCCGTTAAAACCTTACCTGATTAGTAAAGCCATCCTATATAATGCTTTAGGCTAAGTTTATTAGGTTATTATTTCACGCAGGGTTGAATATACCGCAGTATATGACAACTGCGAGTCACTAGCTGTTTGCGCCGATTAAGGACTGCTGCCCCGACGCTTAAGGTGTTTAGTGATTGGCTGGATGCTGCCGAGGGGAAAACCTGACTGCCCGTCGTCGTAAAACGCCTTAAACACCCCACCTCGACGTGTATATGATAGGCGATAGGGCGGTGTAATTATCCTAACCCGTGAGCCTAACGCGGCACGACCGTGTTAGAGTAAGGCCCTCTGGTCCACCTCGTTATAGTGTAGGCTAGAGGGACCCTGTTAGGCATGGGCACGACTATGCTCTCTGGCCCCCGACTCGATGTTCGCAGCGGATAGGTGGCGATGCCGAGTGGGCGTGCACGTCGAGGGCATGCTCCTGGTGTAGTGGTCCCAGTCATTTCAACACTATGGCAGGTGGGCGGCGACGCGAATTTGGCGGCTGTAGGCGGCGGCGTCTGTAGTTGGGTTGGTACGCGAGTTACGGGATCTTATTATCGCAAACTCTGTCTATCTAAGACTAACGTGTAAGCAGTCCTAAATGCTGATTTTGAGTTGTATATTAGGCGTAAGTAGAGCAATTTTAGATATCGGCACAGAATTCCTCTACACCTAGAAAAAGATCTTGCACGATCTCCTCTCCCACGATCTCCAAGAAGCGGAAGACTCTTTTAACCCCAAGGGCAACTGCTGATCTGGGTCCAGGTCGGAGACCCTCGACAGCCAACCAGTTTCGGAGCATAATCACCCCACCGCCCTTAATTTCATGGTTTGAGTGAGGAATAGAACCAAGGGTAGACGTACTGCTCCGCATGTATAATAGTTGGCAGCGCTAGAATCCTCGATTTCTCTTCTACCTTCCTAAGTGCGTGACTTCTATATTTCCGCTAGACGTAAGTTACTTCGTGAACTTATCTACTTATACGGGGAATAGTAATCGTCGACCGTACTACTAAGAATAAGAAGTGGGACCCCTTACGGCCACTGAGATACTAACTATTAAATTATATTGTGTGAATCTGATAAGAATACGACCTTCCTACTTCGTTCTGAAATGTAACCGCCCCACTTCCTCCTGCACCCAGCGAGCTGCCCCTGGCCTCTATCTCCCCAACCTTCCCTTATATCCCCAAGGTGTCCGTCCCTACTTCCCTCAATCTTCACCTGCATTTCCCCAGTATCCCCCTTGCTGGACCGTTTGCACTAGCACGCGTCAGATTGACTTGCTGGAAGTCCGTCCTATCGAGGAGCTCAGCACAGGAGTGCCTACGGCCCAAATCAGCTCCCATGAGGAAATATATGTTCTGAAGCATATCGAGCGGAAATTGTACATGGCCCAAGACAGTGAAGCACTAGAGAAAGAACTCCAAGTACTCGAAAAAGTAGGTCAAAACAACATCGTCAAACTTGTCGCGTCTGTCGTCCCTCGTAGCTACGATAATTCATATAGACGTGAAGAACACAAGCTCATCCAACAGAATCAACCCAAAGATATCTTCGTTGCCCTGACCAGGGCGTTAGAAGCAGTCTAAGCAGTCCCGTATCTTCCAGCTCTTCCTACTATGCACATGGAGAAACCCTTTGGAAGACTGCATGTACTGCAGCCGCAGTTTGCTAGAAGGTACGACCGTCAAGAAGATACATTTCCGATCCACATAAGCGTTTTATGCCCAATCAATGACTGTTGACACTCTCGCACTTTCAGACCATAACGGGGTCCCCCAGGCTCAGGGGCTTCAGTGTATTCGGACCATGACCTCGGATATCGGGAAAGACCGGATGGGATCCAAATAAGATGAGTCTCCCACATTATAGGTATGTAACTTGTTGACACAATACACAACACACACACGAGATTTCTGCTCCATCAGGATTATTATTATAAGTGCTACCCGTCGGAGTGTGGGTCTCCTCTATTCTGTTCGTTCCTCACAGTAAAGTCGGTGCCCCACACCGACGGGTAGTTGACGTGCGACATATAACCCCATATCGCGGGTTTCCACGAGATAACACAGCATATCCTCATCGTGAGTTTTCACGAGTTTTTCGCGAGGTGGACCATCGCCCCACATCGCGGGATTCCTCGAGAATAACGCAGAATACCTAGCTTATGCATCCTCTTCGCGAGTTTTCGCGAGATAGACCAAACATGTAACGCCACGTCACGGGTTTCAGTGGGCGAGGGTGTGTACAGGTCAGAGTCCAATATAATAACTGGTCAGACCGTCGACAATCTTAGAAATTTATACAACAGAAATATCTCTATCCTGGATAGCTCTGGCCAGCGCAAAATTCTCTGTTCAAACTCTGACTTACAAACCCACACTGCCCCCGTTACTAGCCCCAAGCCAAAAGTCTTAACACACTGCTATGTACCATACACCCAAATCTAGCCTCAGTATACATATCTGTGTTCTAACACTTTTTGCCTCGCAAGGCGGAGTAATTAGTAACCCCATGTCTTTATCGTACTCAGATCACATTCTCAAATAGCTGGTGGCCTGATTCGATACAATGCTTATTGCTAAGCCATGTGATTCAGACTCTAGCCTAACGATCAAGGTTTCTCTCTTTGCACCTTTATGAAATGCTCTTTCATTCCCGCGTTTGCCCTCTTCCAGGTATGTTAGACTTCTGACAGCTATGACTGGTGCGATAACACAGCCACTCGAGGCTTGGCTTATATCGCCGGGCGTATCGTACCTGCATAGCCTGAGTGGATAGGACGAGTCCAAGTTGCCTAACTCATCTTCGTTGGGCTTCAATGGTGCTGCCCAGTGTCCTTTCTCGCGTCCTTCTTAATTCTGTCAGACGTCCGACTGATGATTCTACAGTCTTGGTGCGCAATCACCTTACTGTAAGCTGCTTCAACCTACGCACTCTAACATCCGTCCCAAAAGCGAGTTCATGTTATCATGGCAAGTCCATCTCTGTCTCCTTGACTAAGGGGTTGATTCTAACACTAAGTAGTCAAACGATCCAAGCGAAGAGCTCGATGAAACAAAGTTTTCCGCGGCAATCCCAGTCAAACCCGACGTCTTCAAAAACGAAGAGACACTTTTATGGAAGAATTGTACTGCTTATTACAAGGAGCGACTCGATGATGAATGGTCACCTATAAGGCGCAATGGCCAAATCACATTGCAAAAGAAATGGCACGTGTATCTGGTGGGCGGTGAGATTCGACAGTGGAAGGGAATATCGTGAGCTAGGCCCAGAGGTGCTGTTTTATTAGGCCTAGTTAGATAACGTCTATCTTTACACTAAGCCGACCTAGATAGTCAGAGACACTATAAAGCTGTAATATCACGCATTTTGTTAACGTCGAACTAGCGTCGAGCTCGGCCGTACGTGCACCACCGATCTCGATAGCTCTCGTAATCGTGTCCCCTATAAACACTTAGTAAGTCACCTGAGTCGCCCCTTCCAGGATCACGTGATGGATAGCTATCCGGCCCCCTTGTATTTAGTGGATGTACCGTTGTTCGGCCTTGCGAATATTATAATTATAGAGTTCCTTCGCGATAAATAGAACATCGCTGGCATGTATATCCTAAGATAAGACATATTCTGCCAGGTCTTCGTTGAAGTGTATCCCCACGGTAGCCTTATCCCCTTTCTTAATAATTATATCGTATATATTTTATTAGAATACGAATAGAAGATTCCTAGCGGGTGGCTAATTATACTGATATTTTGGATCGCCGTCGAAAGGCGGATATACGTAAAGGCTAACAAGGCTCGTCGACTATAAAGCAGCGTGTTACGGCCAGCAGACCTAACATGCACCAAGGACATACTGGTGTGTAACGTACTGGGGCGGTCAGCGCACCAGGGCGTAACCAGAAGATGACTCAGGATAACATCACGTGCCAAGTCAAGTGATGGATAACCGGTATAGTGTGCACCCGTACAGGGAACCTATTAGCATAGGAGGATCACTAGGATTACTAGGGATCACTTAGTCCGAGAAGTGATCCAGCGTGATCCCGAACCAGGAGATTACTAGGATACCCGTAATCCCGTAGATATATATACCAGCATATCCTAGGTCTTACTTCTATTAGAGAATAAGATATCGATTAATCTAAGTCTTTACCTGGACTATTAGTCTACGCTCGACTCTACCTTATAAAGAAGACGCCTAGTCTTTACGACGTAACTACGACTAGACACTACGAATAATAGTTACTGCTCTTTAGTTAATATCCTCTTCTTACTTAAACTAAAACCCCGACGCTAGTCCCCTATCGTCCGCTATACTATAGAGGACCGGAAACCGTCGTAACACAGCGTTAGAGTACTCAGGTCTCCGGCCATCTCTAGTGGTCTCTGGTGCCGTGAGAGCTAGATCGAGGCTCGAAACGGTTATAGCCATGGCTTGGCTGTCTTCGAGACGTGGTCGCTTTAAGGGCCGAGGATTTACGTCGAAGTTAAGGGTAGCTAGCAGAGAGTGCAAAGCGGGGAGATATTATTTTAAGGATTCTAATACCTAGGTTAGTAACGTTAGAATATAAGCTTAAAGGAGACTAACTCTTACGGACTTATGCACGTGTACTTTCGACGAAAATATAGCGAATACTCTTAATCACGGATAGGTGGGCGGTGGTTTTCGATACCTCGTCGATAACGCGTTCTATTATTAGCGATTATAGTTAGCAAAAGTCCTCCTCTAAGCTTAGTGCGTGGGAGGCTACGATAACGTAAGAGTACTATACGCAAAATCCTGCTTTAATAAGAATGTGCGAGAAATCGTTTAGGTTTTAGAACCTGGCTAAAGCTTTATTAATCCTGTGTGGCGCTGGTGCTCGGGGATATTGATTTATTAGGCGGCACTTAAGAGCCTGTGTCAGGAAAGTTTGGGTATTTTCGTGGTGGTTTGGGCTCCCGACATGCTGCTCATTCGATATATTTGTTACGGCCAGCAAGACAAGGCCCGACCCTGGCCTACTACGGGACCCTGGGTCTTAAGTATGAACGTCACTATGGCACGGAGGGCAAGCTGAGTCAGGAGGAACGCGGGTCACGTGCGCGGACACGTGACCACCGGATCGAAGGACTCGACAGATGATCCCTGTGATCCGAAGGGATCATCCAGGACAGCCCATGATCCCGAAAGGATCATGGTGGAAAAGTATCGATCCAGACACCGGAAACACATATATATACCAGAGTATCCTAGGTCTTGCTTCTACTAGAGAACAAGACATCGATCAATCTAAGTCTTCACCTGGACCATTAGTCTACGCCTGACTCTACCTTGTGAAGAAGACGCCTAGTCTTTACGACGCAACTACGACCAGACACTACGAACGACAGTTACTGCTCTTTAGTTGACATCCTCTTCTTATTTTGAACTAAAACCTCGACGCCAGTCCCCTATCGTCCGCTATACTATAGAGGACCGGAAGCCGTCGTAACAATATTATGAAATGTGGTGTTGTCTGTTGAAGAGGAGAGTTAAGTTTTTGATCCGTGCTTTAGTATTTGCGCGAACGGAACCACTTAAATAGATCACTCTTCGCGTGACCGCGCGAGCCCCACCTTAATATTCGCGCGGATACTAGAGTAGGTCGAATTTGCTCCTACACTATACTGTGACGTTACGTGGTATAATGTATACCTTAGCATAGTATACTGACCTATAGAGAGCCCTACGCCAGGACAGTGAGCGGCTCCTCGTCCAAGCACCAGAACAAGCTCCTAAGCAATCTAGGTAGTTGCTTTGCCTTAGACGGGCTAAAGATACAACGTATAACATACCTTATGTATATACCTAGGTATAGGACCCACCCACACCTCGAGGTACGAAGTAACTATATATATTCTTCCGGGCTAGGTTCCTCTAAATCTAGAATATAATATTAGAGGCGGCCGGCGGCCTGCTATATCGGCAATAAAGAAGGTACACGGTGCGGCCACCAGGTCTACTATATATAGAAATCTGGGTACTACCCTGTAACTTTAACTGTAGGCTCCTCTCGGGTAGGGTACTACACGTGTACGTAGTAGGTAAAAGCGTTAAAGGGGAGGTTATAGGCGGGTGTAAGGGGGGGTGGAAATAAGACATTTAGAAACTCCACTATGCTTACCGCGTGCAGTATAAGGGAAACTCCCCTGGGTCGGTGGCGTCTTCTTATCCACTTATAGGTTATATCGTAGGTAGGCAGGGCTTATGTATACATAGGGTATAGGGGGTGGGGTGAGCGTATATGTATAGGGTCCGCTACCCGTGCCTCGCCAGCTTACCGGCGACCTTATTGCCAGTGATGCCTACTTCGTATATATCCTATCTCCTGGGACGGTGGGACCTAGCAGACTACCTCGCATAACCAGTATCTCGTGTTCGCGTAGAGCTACCTAAGGTCCAGAAGGCTTATTAAGAATTAAGGACACGGGGATAATAGGCCGTTGATGCTCTGGATAACCGATGTGTTATTAAGATATATCGTGACCGAGAGAGTTAATTAGTCTGTAAGACTAAGGGCGGCGGTAAGCCCAGCCTTTGCCCTGTTAAGTCGGCGTTAAAGACTTCGGCGTTAGGTAATAGGCGGTGGCGGCGTCTTTAACGGTCTACTTATGCAAGAAGCATTATATCGCTAGGCTATGCTAGTCTTAGACAACCTAACTTACCCAAGGCCAAGAGCGTTCTAGGTAAACCGGGAGAAAATCATAGGAAAAATCATACAACGGCCTCGCGGGCGGCGAGTTAATATATTATGCAGAATACGCCTACCCTCCTGCCTATACATTCATATTAGTAAAATAGTAATATAAGGCATAAAATTACTATACGCGAATTGCATTATTAGCTTCACCCAGGTCTAATACTCTGCATATT